CTTTATACCAATCCACCTGGAAACCCCACACCTGCCCTCCCAACCACACATCAAGCCCGTAGTCCCTGGAGAAGCCCACCTTGTGGCCTCAATTCTCATGCTCCCACCTTCAGCTCTGGCCCTTTTGGACATTTGAGCATAGGAAGGGGGGTACATGTGAGCTGAACAGCCAGGCACGTACCCTGAGTAACAGACTGGGCTCAGGACTTGTAGACCCTCCCCCTCAGACACTGGGACTGAAATCTGACCTGGGCTAAGACCCACTGCCACCAACTGAGGACTGATGGGGCCACACCCACCTCATGCCACCACTGCCCCCTGCCCATGACATAATGCAAATAGCTTCCCATGCCCCCGGCCACCTCCCTTGCACCTGCAAATCTCCATCATCCCAGTTGGCCACCTCAAGGTGGAGTACCTCAAGTCTGGCCATCTTCACCCTGAGACTGCAAAATGCCCCACATAGCCTGGTCATGTTGCCTGAAGCTACTGTAAGACACTGAGCGGCAGAGGCAAGGCCGGGCAGAGCCAGCAGACATGTCCCTTGTGGGCAGCAGTCCCCAGACCCCAGAACTCAAGGGCTGTCTCACATTCCAGATCTCACCCTGCAACCCCTTTGCCCAATTCTTCCTTCAGAACCTCTGCTCTGCCCTCACTCCCACTGGAACTTTAGACCTTCCTGCCACACTGTCCAGGGCCCCTAAAATTTTATACCACTCCACCTGGGGGACCCATATCTTCCCACATATAGTTCCCAGGCCGTGTTGAAGCCTGTCTCATGCCCTAAGTTCCCAACCCTCTTCCTACAGCCTGTGTTGGAGCCAGTGCAGAGTCTTGCTGGAGTCAAGGGGACTGAGAGTGCCAGGACAGGTCTGTATGACCCATGGTGCTGACCCATAGCACATACCTTGGGACAGGAATGTAACAATAGCCACAGTCCCCTCCCCATCCCTTGCTTTTGAACAGGGATGAGGCACACATAAAATTTGATCCTAGGTGCCCTGTTCAGGTCCAGATATAAATAATCTGCCTTCTCTATATTCTCCTGTTACCACAGACGTAGAGGATACAGGGCTAAGACTGTTACATGATTGTCACCAACAGCAAAGTTAGCCTCTTGACGTACTAAGCTAGAGGACCAGTGTGGTGCTTGTTTCCAGCTTGGGGTTAATGCCTCACCTAGAACTGGCTCCTGCTGGCCACAGGCACTGTCTCAGGGCCCACCTTCCAGGCATATCCAGGTAACAGAAGTGTCACAAATTTGAACACTACTATCTGTAGCCTTTCAGTGACAGACACGGGCCACGTTATACTTCAGTATACAAGTCATCAAGGAAAAAGGCAATAGGATCCCATCCTTACAGCCCAAGATAACAAATCTTCACTCCAATTGTGTATGAACAGCCAGGGAAGCAGGTGGTATTCTCTCCTGTCAATAAGAGCTAAGAGTTCCTCAGCTCCCACCTTACTCTGCAAGACACTGAATCAAGCATCCTGTGAGGAGATGTGCTCATTCCCCTAAATGTCATGACAGCCACCTTCCCCTAGAAGCAAGGAAAATACTGGCAAACAAGGGAAATGGAGTTATCAACCCAAAAATACCAGACTTCAAATGAACAGGTTTAAAATCAGAACATTCTTCATTGTTCAGTATTTGGGAGGGAAGGATAAAAGGGAATGGGGGAAGGATAACAGTTTTGGGGTTACAGGGAAGGGAATTCCAGGTTCTGAGGGGAGTGTCTAAAAGCAACAACTAAAACTATAAACATCCAGTAAAATACAGGAAGAGTAGGATGTGGACCACGAGAAAGTAGGTGGCTCCCAGCAGTGGCCCTCGGGTCCGGAAACGAGGAAGGGAACACAGGGTCCGCTTCCATCCAGCCTTCGTCTGGATCTGAAAGAAAAGTGCCAAGTCAGAGAGTTTTCACCTGGGAGGGAGATGTCCCTTTCCGTCCCCAGTCATCTTGCATTGAAGGAAAGCTGAGCCAACCCCTGAAGAAAATGTGTAAAGACACGAAAAAGAAGAAAGTCTTTCAGGCTAGGACCTGGGAAATTCCAGCGCATTCCTCATCTTCCACACTCTTGTGGTCTCACGCCCATCAGTGCGCAGTGGCTGGGTTTCCCCTTTCTGTCTCCTTTACTCCCTGGCCCTGACCCAGCCAGGCCCCTCCTTCAGGAGAGCGCCCTCCCTCTGTCCTCCCTCCCTTCTTCCTTACCCTTTTGCAATTGCTGCTGGAAATTTCTATCATCACTGACTGCTCCTGAGTGCTGCAGGAACCAAGTGAAGGAGTCTGGGCAGGGTCCAGTTTGTCATGCTCCAGCCTGTGTTGAGACAATAAAGAGGCATGGCGTTGGCTCATGGCATGAGAGGTGACGCTTCCCAGTCACCTCCCATGGAAGGCAGCACAGGGAACTTGTAGCAAAGGCTGTTCCTGCAGTCCCTGTCCCCATACAAGGAGTGCACTGCAGACAGGTTTCTTTAGCAGCAGTGAAAGGTGATAATAACTGCTGGGAATGGCCTGCCTGCTATGTCCCAACCAGGTGCTGGGTTGGGTGTTTTACATACATTTAATCCTCAGGTTTTCGGGTTGGTGTTATTACCTTCAAAATGGTAAGGTTTACAGAGGATAAAGGACTTGCCCATGGCGTCACAGCCACTAAGTGGCAGAGCCAGAACGGAATCCCCAGGTTTGTCTTTAAGCCTCATCCTCTTTCTTTTTAGCACACTACACCTGACTTGGAGAAACCCATTATTTTTTTTTCCATTTACTAAAAGCTATTAGGCAAAAGTAACCAAGAAGGATTTTAGTGGGGTTCTTAGATGAAACTGACTGCTGGTCGCTACTGTTTTCTGTCTCATTTTTTGCTGAGTTGCTTTTTTTATCTTAGAAATGGAGCTTCCATGTTTAATGGAGAAGCTGCCATTCTTCACTCAATGGTTTCTGACAAACTGAAAGAAGGGGCTGCAGGTGACACAGCACGTGTGCTGAAGTGTTTGCCTATGGGGATGCGCTGCCTCCTAATTGGAGTAGGGAGGATGCAACTCCTTCCTCTCCTCCCCTAGGGATATCCATTAGCCTAATTTTGCTGGCCTTTCTCTGCGGGTCACACTCTTTTCTCCAGGACAGAAGGAATACCTTAACCTGATTTATGAGTCTAGGAAGAGAAACAGAGTGTGCATGGCCTAGCTCCTGCCTGCTTCCCTCTTAACAGCTGGGCTGACCGCACAGCACAGCTTGTGTGTCTGTTCTTCCACGTGATAAGCTTTTCAGAGGCAGCCTTAATCTGGAACAGTAAGGTCTGTTACCCAGGAGGTCAGGCTGCTGAAGGCTGAGACGGCTGTGGGTACTGGTGAGGTCAACTGGATCGCCTGCTTTTAATCTGGAAGGCCCCTGAGTTCCACATACACTGTGGAGCACATGTGAAGTCCTAACATGAAGATAGCAGTGCCTGGTCTGGGTGGGCAGCCCTTCTGTTTTTTGTTTTTTTTTTTT